ATACTAATCTCGTGAAAGCGCGTACGCATTTCTGAATTACGCAAAATAATAATTAAAAGCGAATTGTAAAAAATGATTTCAGCAATAGCTGTCTGTAATTCGAACATCTACGTTTTTCTCGAATCACGGATGTGTGAGAAAAATAATTTATTTGTTTTTCCATGTTTTGTATTGTTTTAAATTTACCAGTCTTACGGTCGAAACTAGAATGTTCTTTTGTTTTGTTTTTTTTTTTGCATACGTATGCTACGTTAAATGACGATTTTATACTCATCTGAACATTTGAAACGACATTGGAATAGGATTTTAAAAAGTTATTCCGTTTGTTTGCACACGTTTTCTTGAGCTTCGGTATCTTTATCTCTTTTACTATACATAGTTGAATTATTGAACTACTGGAGCTACAACAGCACATATTTTCTATCATCATTTCGCACTTTTGCAATTTTCAAAAATTCAGAGCAGTCAGTGACAATGAGACCTGATCATTATTTCAAGCGTTCTTTGTTACACCCGTGGAAAAAGTGAAAGAAAAAATTGAATATTATTGTTTAAAAAATAGTACACATTTCACGCAAAATTTTACCAAAACTATTCACATTTTCAAACATTGTATTTATTACGTGAAACGTCTCTATCTTTAATATTGTATTTGGAGGAAGACGCCAAAATATGTTTACTATTGCCACTTTGGAAAAATCAGAGATGTGAACGAAAATGAAGCTTTACGCTATTTACGACTTACGCTATTACGAGAAAATTTACTTAAAAGATTTGGAGACGTTTTTGAAAAAATTTTCAAAATGTTTTGTAGGCCTCATGTAAAAAAACTCCAAAAAATCAAAATATCATCTTAACAGGTTTGGCGTTATTGTAAACTGCAGACACAGGTGTTTTGGCATTTATCGATATTCCTGTATGAAGGACTCACAGAACATGGTTTCTAACAACACAGTGTGTTAGAGGAAGTAACTTACTACACACAGGAACAAGATTTAACCACTGTTTCATATCCATGGTCCGACAATAAGAGTTTTCTGTCGAACATAAACACATCCATCCATCTTGTGTATGTATGTGTTTATGTATGTATGTATGTATGTATGTATGTATGTATGTATGTATGTATGTATGTATGTATGTATGCATGTATGTATGTATGTATGTATGTATGTATGTATGTATATGTCTGTCTATTTATCTACTTACCTACCTACCTACCTACCTACCTATCTGACCATCCAAATGCCATGACCATTATTTGACTTTTTTTTCTCAACGTATAAAAGGAAACGGAATGACACTCCTAATCGACACTCTCGTTCTTAGGACGGAACGAAGGGCTAATTTTTCACCCCCATAAACCGCATAGTCCATTATCTCGCTCCATTCCCACCCCCGCAGAATTGCGTGGGCGCGGATATAAGGTCAAAACTTGTCCTTGGATCTAGCACCAGCAGGGCGAGAGAGGACGAGAAAGAGAGAGGAAGAGAAAGAGAGAGGAAGAGAAAGAGAGAGGAAGAGAAAGAGAGAGGAAGAAAAGAGGAGGTAGAGTGAGAGGTAGAGAGAGTGAAAGAGAGAGAAAGAAGAGAGAGAAAGAGAGGAGAAAGAGAGAGAAGAGAGAGAAAAGAGAGAGGAGAAAGGAGAAAAGAGAGAGAGAAAGGGAGCGAGAAAGAGAGAGAGAAAGGGACCCGGGAGAAAGGAGAGGAGAAGCAAATTGAAGAGAGAAAGAGAGGAGAGAGACATGTGTGTGTCAAAAACACCGCGCCGGCGCGTGCACGCGGGCGTGCCCCGCAAGCAGCGTTATGATCGCGCGAACCACCTCACCCCTTCCTCCCCCCCCCGCCGGCCGCCCGGGCCTCTCGCTTCGGAAAGTAGTCGCAAAGCGGCCGTTCAGCCTTCGGTAATGCCATGAACAGTCGCCCACACACGAAAGGGTCGAGCAGGCAGCGGCGGGGCGTCGGCGAGAAGCAATCGCCGCGAGAGGAAGGCGTCGACGCGGGGGAGGGGAGGGGAGGGGGCCGGTCTCCGCGCTTGGACGCCCGCGGTTCCACAGCGGTCTCGCAAATATCGACGATTCTTTCGCCGTGATTTAGATACGCGCTTCTGAAGCAGCCCGCTCCCAGCCCCTCGCTCGCCCGAAGGGGGCGAGGAGATGGAGAGAGATGACGAAGGATGGAGGCAGCACTGCACACCCTGAGTGGAGATTGAGGAAAGCGAGAGGAGGGAGATGGAGGAAAAAGATGAATGATGATGACTGAAGATAGAGATACGGAGCGGAGGTGGGCGATGGACGTTGGAGATGGAGTACGCAGATGGAGGCTGGAGCAGGAGAACGAAATGGAGGGATCAGTTTTAAAGAAAGTTTTGGATGAAGGTGGTGGAGTACGTTAATGCAGATGAAGGATGAATGTGAAGGATGATGGAGCATGAAGGTCGAGATTAAGATGCGGGGAATAAAGAGAGACATGAATGTATAGGGAGAATAGATATCATTTACAAATTCGTACCACGCTTCAGATGCATCTGAGGACGCGACCCACCTGCCGAAAGGTGGACCCGGTGGCGAAGGACACGGAGCTCTACACGAGGGGTAAGTGAATACGAGCGTATGGAGCGAGATGGGACAGAGGATGGAGTGGAGATTGAAAAGGGATGTGAGTGTCGAGATGGAAGAATGTAGAAATGGGGATGAAGGAAGGAAATGAAGACGAATGAAGGAGATAACTGATATTTTTTTAGGATGGAGACAAGGAAGATGCAGAAGGTTGAAGATGGAGGATATAAATAGAAAATGGAGGTCAAAGAGAAAACGTGTTGAGTTTTGAGGGAACAAATCGAGCTTCATGATGGAGATGATCGATACACGTAGAGAATAAAACGAAGGAGGGGTATCCACGTTCATGATCCAATTAATATAAAATTTCACGAACGGAACTGCTCTGTCTTAAGGGTCTAATTAGAAATTCACATAATTATTACAACGTACAAATATGTCTAGACATTCACACAGCAGTGAACATTTTTTAAAAATACAGTAAACAATTCAGTGAATAGAAATCAAGGAAATATTTCATACAATGTTAATGTTGAACATTTAGTGTTTCAGAAGGCATATAAATTAGAATATTGTTCTAGATTCTGATGACATTAAGCTTATTCAAAAGTGTTTTTTTTTTGGTTTTGTTTTAACAGATTGGGCAACGACAATGAAGATCTTGAGGAAGGAGAAGAAGACGAAACAAGTGATGTTGAGGTTGGTGGAGTCGTCGGTGGGGAAATACGGAGAAGACACAGAATGAGACAGGTACCAGTGACAACGGCAGCTGTAGAGGTAGGGGCTCCCTGGACGCTGGAGCCTGTGGGGACGACGAGAACGGCGGAGACGGCGACTTTGCACACGGCTGAAAGCAGGGGGTCGATGAGGACGACGGAAGAAGCAAAGACGGTGATTACGACGGATTCAGTGAGAAGTGCGGAGCGTCAACTGAGGCCACTGCACTGCCTCTATCAGCGAGGTCCTAGATTCGCGTCCCAATTGTGACAGGAATTTCGATACTGGCTCGTCCAATACAGTCGCTGTCTGGAGAAGAATTCTATTGGCCGGCTGCTCTGATCGGTAGTTTTTCGTGGTTTCTCCTTTCAACACCAGCGAATGCCAGAGCAGTACCCTAAAAAACGGGCCACGGACCGCGCGAGATCTTTCCTGCCTCTTCCTTGTCCTACCCTCACCCCTTACACACACACACACACACACACACTAACATGCACCACTCTACCACACATGCCAGGAGACCAATGGGAGAAAACTGGCTGAGGTGGGAGATACCTGGTGCTGGTGGGAGATACCTGGTTGGAGAAATCGCTAGCCGACGGTTGGTCGGCGCCGGATATCGCCGTACAGCGGAGGAAGACCACCGCCTTCTTCCGAGCAAAAACATTCACGTACCGTACTATTGACCTCAGTAGTTGACGCGCCCGTAATCACTGAAAATCAATCAATCATATCACGCTGGAAACAATCCAATCAGCGAGAACGACGAAGAGAGTGGAGTCCGCAAGGTCGAAAAATGCAATACACACAGTGAGGACAACTAATTCCGCAACTATAACGAGAACGAGAAAGACAGTGGAGGCGAAGGTGGCGGAGGCAGCAAAGGCGTTGGGCTGAGCGGCGCCCGCAGGATGACGAAAACGGAGGCGGTGAAATGGCGAAGCAGGCGACGCGTTTGCACGTTTAGTCGCCTGCCGCCCCCCCCCGCCCCGCCGCCCCCGGCGCGGAAAAGTTGGCTGGCACAGCTTCTGAGGAGTCGGCGGATTCCCGGCGCGCCGGAGATGATGGCCCTCCAGCTTACTGCCGCCCCGCCCCCCCCGCCCCCCCACCCCGACTGAGTTGGCGCCGCGATCGCTTTCTTTCGCTGTTACATTCGTCAAACTCCGCGGCAAGTGGTCGTAGACGCCAGGTGGCGCTGCCTGGGGAAGAGCGCGCCGCCGCCCCACCGCCGCCACGCCGCCCCCTCCTGCGAGCCGAGATGCAGCGTGGATCTAAATGGCGCTCTGGCCGGACCAAGTCCAAAAAGAAATGTGTTCCCCACGCCTTTTCAGCCATTTATGTTGCTATGTGATGCATTACTTAACGGCTTGTCCCCACAAAATTGGTGAAAATACTGGGTTTCACACGTTCGAATGAAAATTCATTTAAGTACTGGGAACCAAAGTACGATTAACATTATTTTAAATTATAATATTAGATCTTCGTATAATTGTTAATGTTTTGTAAACGAGTCGTTCTCTTTCACTAACCAAATGAATTCGAATATCGCGCACCGCCAGGGATCGACACAATAACGGCCTCAGTGATTTTATCCGTTTTTGTGCGTCGTTGCCTAGTTGCGCGAATAAGGGAATTAATTAGTGCAGGAATTGTTGTTTTATTTAATTTTGACGGCCACTTGCCAGGGTTCTTTTACATCTCACTTCCCTAGTAAGGAGTTCCGTCATTACAAATTACTAGTACACCGAGCCCAGCCGCCGAGATGGCCGTCGGTGGTGGGGTGACGGTCATGCTGCTGAGACCGGAATTCAAATCCTTGGCGATGCACATGGAGTGTATGGTGGACTAATAGGCTACTCAGCACGTTTTTCGTGGTTATCCTTTTTCTCTGCCTTTCATTCCACCATTGCTTTGTTATCATTCATATCAAATATACACAATCAATCAATTAGAAATATACATATATACAAGTAAGGACATGAGGCTAGGAAAATGCCATATTAATAATAATAATAATAATAATAATAATAATAATAATAATAATAAATACTTAACAATACTCTGTTGATAAAAATAACATAATTAAAAAAAATTAGACAATAAATTTGTAAGAGCATAAAAACAGTAAATTGAAAAATTTATAGCAAACAGAAATACCAATGTATACTTATTGTTCAGATCCTGAACAAATGTGTAAAAGCAGATTTTTTTTTTCAAAATTAGAAAGAATTAGAAGAAAAAAGTTTAATAAATTAGAGACGAGATATAGGAAAATTAAAAAGAGTCCTTCCAGACAGAACACAAAAGAAATTAAGAGTAACAAAGGCGGTAGTTATTATATTATTCGACTTTTACATAGATTCCGTTAACCACTAATAGAGTAAGGTGATATAGGCCATTTAACGTTTCAGGTGATGAGAGCGATTTTTTTTTCACACAAAATGGTATGAAAGGCACATTTTGTTGGTTAGAACACCTAGTACTTCGTATTTTGTCTACCGCAAGGCTGGTTTCGCGATAGACGCATTTCGAGCCCTGGCCTGAATCTCAACGCACTTCTATTGCATTTTGTATTGCAGTCAGTATTTTGCCGTTAGTACAAATTTAAGTTAAAAGTAAAATCATTTCTGCTGCATAACTGTTTCTACGCAACTAGAGACTATACTGATCATCAAAAAGAAAAATAATGTTTATTTTAACAAAACTGATATATCATGAATTAGATTACATTTGTATTGTACAAGTATGATTTGGCCTCCCAGCCAACGTAACGCCGTCTCCCGGATAGCCAAGAATTTATGGATTAGAGCCGCGGAAGCTTACGTGTACATTGTATAATTTTTTTAAAAAAAATCTTAATATGTTTGTAACAAATAATGTACTTCAGCTTCCGGGTCAATGACCACCATCTCGATCAGGTTTTTGTCCAGTTTCCCTGATCCATTGAGCAAATGCCTTGTTTTGCTTCTGGACGTAAATGTAGCTCCACTATGCGCAGTTGACGCCTCCGGAATCACTAATCAGTGAATCTGAGCTCTGTTCTCCCCACGCTGACGCAGCGTCCCTCCCCGCGTCTTGCATCACTGTGTTTTGAAGAGCAACTGTGTCCAGGGGACGGACGTTAAGGGCGACAACCAGGGCAGTGTCGAATAGTGGACGAAGCAAGTTTTAGACGGAGGATCCAATTTCGGGATTTGTGTTTGTACTCATGTTCGAAGCCATTTCCTCACGACAGGCGAGATCATTAAACAATGAGGAAGATACGATGTCGATGTTTTGTAACTCCGTTACGGAGATGCAGGTCTAAAGTACTGAACTGACGTTATGCAACGCGCGATACACTTTTCATACACTTGCGTCTGTTAATATTCGGAAAGAATTGAACAATAGCTTTCCTATAAAAGAATTCGGGGGTAATGATTCTATGGAATTGCACCGAGATTGCCAACTGTTTTACATACGAATTCAAAAACGCCAAATTCGGGTGAAGATATTACCAAGCATGATTGGACTGGAAAATTTTAACGCTTGGAATTTTCGATTTCTAATAATAGAAAACGAATTTGCGTCAGTAAACGATCTACAGATTTCATTTAGTAGTATTACAAACAGAATAGTAGCCCCCTGCTTTAATCCTCTCTAGAACCTCTATTAGAGAGCTGATCATAACGTGCGTATAATGAAGCAAACTTTACTTTGCGAACATTTATTTCAAATGAGAGCACTCCGATATTAAAAATATGGAGAATGATATAATTAGGTTGATGGCGCCTACATAAAAAAATTAAGTGCATCACGCGTTCAATGCGTCACTTGCAATTATTCAAATCGCCATAGGTTGGCTATCCCTGCAATACAATTATATTGCGATTTTTCTACCTCTACCCCTCAAGGCCCCACTAAACGGTGACATTATGTCATTGTATTTCGCGTCTCTCTCGGTCGTGCCGCTAGATGTCGCGTGATCGCGATCGTATCCAGCACTGCAATACGGTCGCGATCATCCGATATCTGGCGGCACTACCGAGAGAGACGCGAAAAACGGCGACATAAAGCCACCGTGAACTAGGGCCTTGAAGGGCAAAGCTAGAACAATCTTTTTATAAGTCACACTCACTTTGCCCGAAGCGACAATTGTAGCGTTCGAGTTCGCACTGGTTGGCGAAGTTCTTGCGCGATCCGTTGGAGCCCTGGCGCGCGCACAGCGGCGCCGTGCGCGTGGGGCACGTCTCCATGCAGTTGGTCCCTCCGCGCCCGCCGCCGCCCCCGCCCGCCTCCGCCTCCGCAGACGCGCCCGCCATCAGCCACGTCGACGCCGCCACCACCACTGCGAGCAAGAGACACACCACCGCCATTAATAACGTAGCTTGCATATTTTTTGCGCGTGTAGGCCAACTCAGACCACGCGTGCTTCCTGCTTCTGCAAGTGCAAGTACCTTTCAGAGGGAGGAATCAGCATTTTAGCTGAATCCCGATATTTATCCCCCAAGGTTGTTAACCTTGCGGGTATGGATGATGAATGATGGTGAAGGATAAAAGGACGGCATACACATAGACAAATACACCCATGCCCGAGGAGGGACTCGAACACGAGGTTTTTTGGTCCGAGACTTGCTTTAATTTATTTTGCTAGTGAAGAGTAAACTTGTATGTGACGTATGGGCGAGAAAAACAACGTGCAGACGTTTTCTTGAGCTCTAGAGTCCCTTCCCCACCTTTTGACCCTAAATAGACGAATGATAAATAAAAGTACCAACAAAGCAAGTTTAGTAAAAATTTAGTAACATAAGTACATTATTTTGACATTTTCTGTTTTCTAATAATAGAACCGAAATATTACTTCAAGAATATTAAAGAAGAGTAAAACCTCGCCATAAATGAGAGATTTTGTTGAAAAATATGGAGCCGTTTTGAAGAAAATGGCGTTTAAGCGTTACTGTAAATTCGAAATTTGAAGCTCTTCTTTCACCAAACAAAATGTTTGTTTTCAAAAAAGTTAATTTAAAGATTTTTGCGGCACTTTAACTCACAAATGCAGTATTGTGCAATTGCAAGAAATGTTTTACAAATCGCATATTAATGGCGTGAGAGATATTTAAAAAATACATTCCTGTAAGTTTTGAAAAAGCAAAAGAATACTCAAAAATGAACTTTGTCATTTTAAACAGTGTACCTGTTGGAAAAGTTTGAAGAAAAAAATTGGAACAATTTTTGAGAAAGTGACGTTTGAGCGTTTCTGAGAATGCGAAATTATGAACTCATTTTAACACAAAACTATTGAATTTTCGAGAAACTATATCTGACATTATTGAAAGTACAGGCACTCATAAACAATAATGTGAACAAATTTCCGCTTATGCAAATTTTAACGGTGTGAGAAACAACTAAATAATACATTTGTGTAATTTTTGAAAAAACAAAAGAATAGAGCTATATGGCGCTCATGTCATGTTATAAAGTGCATTTAGAACTATCGCTACCAAACGTTTGAAGTAAAATATTTGGAGCCGTTTTTGAGAATATCATGTTTTAATAATTTTTTTAAATTGCGAATATTGCGCGAAAACTACTAAAAACCTTGATCTTATGACTTATATTGACTAATGACCTTCATGAAAGAACTAATTATGGACAACACATTTATTTGAAGGAAAATTCTGAATTTTCATTTTTGTACTTTAGGAAGACTCCGAAAAATGCAAACTTTTGCAATTTCCGAAAATTGAGTTAATCGTGAAAATCGGACGTATGCCACATTTGTGTGTTTTACTCTATTCTTCAAAGAAATTGAAAGAGTCTTTTTGAGAAAATTTTGTAAATGTTCGAGAGGCATCACGTAAAGGACCACCAAATTTTCAAGAAAGTTTTGAAAATTGTAACTCCTTGAGTCCAGCCAGATAGATACGGAATATCATTTTGAAAAAAAAAAAAAAAAATCCTACGCATGGCTTAGGCGCTAGTGCTGTTCACATACAAACAGACGGACTGACGGGCGAACTGACGGGCGAACTGACAGGCGAACTGACAGGCGAACGGACGGGCGAACTGACGGCTGAACTAACGGGCGAATTGTCGGGCGAACTGACGGACGGACTGACGGACGGACTGACGGACGGACTGACGGACGGACTGACGGACGCACTGAGGAACGCACTGAGGAACGCACTGAGGGACGCACTGAGGGACGCACTGAGGGACGCACTGACGAACGGACTGACGGACGGAGTGACGGATGGATTAATGGACGCACTGACAGAAGGACTGACTGACGAACGGACGTTTAGAAAAAACAAATTTTTCGGTATCAAGGGACCCCAAAACCTGTATTTCCGTTGAAATCTCGAAATCGATGGCATAACTTTCTCTATACTCCGTATATACGTACGTATTAGAGAAAGTAAAAATATATTAATACTATGTTTGAGATATTTAATACATTACAAATTCCTTGAAGCATGCTGTCATCTAAGCAATTGTAAGTATTGGAAAATTATTTAATTAATGAACAAGTGTTTGTTTTCCTAAATGATTGAGAGATTTGTCTCCGAATGATTTATGACGTATCACTGATTGACGAAAATTGATTTTATTACAATTTACAATCAACGTTTATTTAAATAAAGATTGGTGCACCTTTATCCCTATAATAACTTCAAATAATTAAATGTTGAGGCAACTCATTTATAAAATTATGCATATGATATTAAATAATTCACATTATAGTTAATACAATATTAAAATTTTTGGAAGAGCATTCACTAGAATGATGTCGCTGCCCCTTTCCCTCCCTAGTTACGTCACTGTTCATCACGATCTAATTTCCGTTCAATTTCCAATAATCGAAGCAAATGGGGATGCAAAATAGGCTCTGTTTGAATTTTCAGGACTACACACTGTACATAACAGAAATTATTAATTTCAGGAGTGAAAAACAACAAACGAGACATTTAGAGATCACTATCATTGTCAACATATAGAGACTAGACTTTCTGTATTATTGAGCGAAAAATTTGAGTTAATAATTCTATACCATGACGAATTGCTTGTGAAATCCGATGATAAAATTGTCAGATAGAGCGTAATACGTTAAATATATCTACACAAATTTAAATATTTTCAATATTTGTAATATGTTAATTAATTGATAAATATTTCTGAACACAAACTAGTGTTTCGAGATTTATTTTTTGCTGTTATATACTGTTAAAAATTGTAATAAACTTTGATCATACTACTTGAAAAGTCTTGCAGTTGGTGCAGTTGGCTAGTAAAAGAATGGACTTGGTTTTCATTATGCAGCGTAATGTGTCAAGAACCAAACATTGCATTGAGTACATGTAACTGTCGCGGTACTACAAGCTTGTCGCAAAATAATGGATAAAAACTTAGTAATAACACACAATAAACACATAATAAACTTAGTAATTAGTTGGTAGTAAAAACTTGAAATGTATATGGAGCTAAAATACGCGTTTCATTTGTAGGAAGTACTTCGAATAAATCGATTTAAATCCGGCGAAAAAATGTTTATCCTTGGGGGCAATTTTGCCTATATCATTCCGCTAACCCCATTAAGACATGGTCTTATTTCTTTGGAATTAAAACGCGGAGAATATTTTCACAAGTTGCGTCCCTTTAAATGACACATAAAAGCATGAATCATTATTACGTTTCAGTGTCAGAGTGTTCTGCGATAAATTACATTAATGTCTCAAACTTTTGAAATACATTTGAAAACATAGGTACTTTTGTATGTAAGGATATACGGAAAACGAAAAAGCCAAACCAGCTTTTTCTGTACTGTAAAGCTGTAAGGTCGAGGTTCCTCGCACGAGGCCGGTACAAACTTATGACCGGACGAGTTCGGTAGAAAAAAACTCAATTCTTGAAGATAATTAATGATTACTGGTGACCAATTAACTTGATGACAAACGTTTACATTAAGTATACAAAATGAGAGAGATGTAGCTCAACAGAAATTAAGAATTCGTAATTGTGTTTATGTAATGTGGCTTTAAATAATTAAGAAATGCGCTTTCCTTATGTCTTATACCTCCCTTAAGTTTACAAAACACTTCGTATACACGTCGTCCGAAATGTGAATGTTGTTCAACACTAAACATACTTGTATTAACAAGGATATTGAAAATAATTGTAATGTGGATTGACATTAGTTCGCTGTCACTAGGATTTTGTCAGTCAGTCATGTCGCAGTCACTACGGTTGCCAAACAGTCTATCAGTCAGTTGGTCGCTCAGTTATTTTCATTTTTTAATATATTCGATGAGATAAAGAAGTCATGTTATATTTTTAGGTATATATTTTGGAGGGTTTGTATTTTGATTAGACTATTTCTCGAAGCATTTAGTCAGATAGAGCTCGAAAATTTCATAATCAATCGGCTACTATGTAAATGTTATAACATTGTTCGAAAAAACAAAATATTTTCGATGTTAATTAACGGTTTTAGTTGAAAGGTCCATACGTGAAAAAAACACTACACTTCGGCCTTGATTAATAGGAAAAATTGATCATATTCGCCATGTATGTTCAATGCGGACGACCCATGGAGCGCGAACGGGGGGGCAGGGAGGGCTGTGGGCTGTGGCGATGGGCGAGCGGGCGCTGTTCCTCGCGCTGACTGGACGTGGAGCGGCAGCGATGCAGCGTGCGGCGTTCACGGCCGGCGCTTTGACCACTGAATTAAATGGCACGGCGTCGACGGGATGTTGGCGCCGCGGCGGAGGCACCCGCAAACACGCGGCGCGACCCGGCCACCGAACGGAGCCTCGCCCTCCCGGCCCCCCGCCCGCCCACCCACGCGGCGACTAACAGCCTCCTTGCCCGCCCGCCCGCTCGCTCGGCGTGCCACTCACGCGCTCACGCCCCCTCCTTGCGCGGACACTAAGGTCCTCCCACGACCGCCTCTATTGACGTCGCCTTTCCCCCGCGCCCAGCCACTTGCCAACTAATCTCCTTACCCACTCCACTCACTAATTTACTTGCCCCTTCGGAATTGTGTGCTCGCGCCCCCCACGGCCCGCCACGCCCACCCACCGGACCGGCCCCCCCCGGCCCCCGCGCCCGCCATTCACCTACGCTTCCCTGCCAGCTGTTTTTGTTTCGTTTTAAGCGGCCACTTTTTTGGTGTTCTTCCTAAATAGTCATGTGGATTAATCGCTCCGGAATATTCAGGAATGCGCAGTCGGGGACTAGATGACTATGACACGTTAGAAATTTGGATGCGGGTCATAACAAAAGTTTTTAGCTCTAATCCATACTTCCTGCTATGTTTTTCATCGATTTTTACATAAGTTTATGAATTAAGAAATGTTCACGCGAATTAACAAATGTTTCGGATCAGGAACCCACCGAACGTTAGAGGAAGTAATTTAATACACATAGGGAGAAGATTTGTCCCTATTTTCGATATCAGGGCCCCCCAGCACATAGTGTGGAGAGTTTTTCTGTTGGAAAATGTTGTAATGCCGCAGCATTGCATTTTCTCTATACTACGTAATAGTACGCACGAAAGTAACTAGGTCTTGAGAAGATAAGCATTGCCAACTGCTTCCTTAGTCTTTTCTCCCCATACAAGGGAACATTTAATGTTCACATTTTTAATGTTTTTGTCTACAATAAACTTAACCGCTCGATTCTGAATGCGTTCAATGCTCTGCATTTCTCCAGTTCTGTAAGGGTCCCAACAGCTAGCGGCGTATTCGAGTAAAGTTCTGACCAATGACGTGTATGCTAAATATTTGGACTTCTTATTTCCCCCTTTTCATTTTCTCATTACAATGTATAGACTTTGTCACGCTTTATTTAATGCTGAATTCACCTGTTATTTCCATGTTAACATACTATTTAAAATTATTAGCAGGTATCTCAGCTATCTGTAGATGGAATTATCTGATCCTTGAAAAAATAGTTGCATTTTCGTGTAGATAGGTTACGAGTAAATGCTATAGATTTACTTTTGGAAGCATTAATTTTCATACCATTATCGTGTGCCCATTTTGAAAGATCGTCGATATCATCTTGGAGAATCTGTTGATCTTTTCCTTCGGTTATCGTTTCGGAAGAAAATGCAAACATCTGCAAAGAGTTTGACACGGAATTTAATATTTTCTGAAATGTCGTTCATGGAGGCTAAGAACATCAGTGGCCCTATCACACTACGCTATGCCACGCTAAGTGTTATACTTGTAACTCCTGCGTGCGTGTGACCAACGTTTACATACTGTATGCGGCCCTTAACAAATTCTTTAATCCAATTTCCTACTCGCTTATCTACGAATGCTCTTTGTTTAAGAGTATATCGGGCGGAACAAGGTGAAATGCTTTTGCGAAGTCTAAAACGATTGCGTCTATTCTGTCACCCCTATCCGTTGTATCAGAGATTTCTTGAACAAATGTCAATAATTGTCTCTCGCAGGAATGTCCCTCACAAAAACCATGTTGTCCGTCATATATCCATCTTGTTCTACTCCATTCTTTCCTAATGTAGTTTGTGATGACGCGCTCCATTACTCTGCATACTACGGTTGTTAAGCTAAGTGGACGATAATTTTCCACTGCGGTTCTATCCCCTCTTTAGAGATTGCCACACCTATTGTTCGTTTCCAGTCGTACGAGATACTTTGATTGTTGCTTGATATTTGAAATAGACGTACAAGATACTGGATAATGGGTTCACCCTTAATTTAAGGATTTACCAAGGTATATTATCGGGTCTCCTAGATTAATTATTTCCTAGGTTATGAACTATTTTTCGGAGTGTTTTACTTTCTATAATAAATTGAGGGCAATCTTCAATTGGTTCGACATTGATTTCTTCATCCGTCTTATTTTAGGATAATTAACGTCCACGATACGACATTTTAGATTCTTGTCATTATTCAAAAATGCTGGTTTTAGTTTGATTCAGTCAAGCCGTTAGTTTGATTCAGTCAAGCCGAAAAAATAACAAAACGAACTGTATTGTTGAATACAGAAAATCATAAGCTCATTGAAAACTCGAAGATAAAAGAAATAAAACTATTATTAACAGAAATAGGGTTGTTCAACTCAAAAACTGTGGTTTAGTGTAAATAAAAATAAAAAGTAAAATTGAAAATTCAATAAGAGTTTTCACCTCAAATTTTTGGCCTTTTTTCATTTATCAAATTTTGGCAATTTCTAGTCCAGCAAATCCCACGAAAGTATTTAAATACGGCAATAATTTAAATAAAAATGTCGTATAATTGTTTTCATTTTGCATGTGGTCTCGTGGTCTCAATCAGCAAGCCTTGATAGCCTTTCATTTATTTATGTATTTGCGTCAAAAACAGTTAAAAACTGTAAGTGACATGCTATGGGGAGAAGTTAATTTGAAGTTACATTCATGTCCAGAAGAAAACAAAGAGGCCATGTCAGCATTTTCTCGAGGATCAGGGAAACTGGACGAAAACCTGATCGAGATGGGGGGTCATTGACCCAGAAGCTGAAGTACAATACTTGTTTCAGGTTCATTACAAATATACAACCCAAATGGTATATAACACATTGAATGTCATTTTTCAAATTAATATTACTTTCCTTTTGGATGCTCGGTATAGTCACTAATTGTATAGAAACAGTTGTGCAGCAGAAAAGATTTTGCTTGAGACTTAAACTTTTGTATCGAATTTATTCGTTTATTGTCATCTGACAAGATGGAAAATAATACGTGAATTTTTTGTAGTGAGCTGTTGATACTGTAACGTGATGAATATGATTACTAAGTTGAGTGTTAGAGTTATAGACAACGGCTTTTGCTGAAAATATATTCCCGACCTTAACTAATTTTTTTAAAAACTATTGATTCATATATGAAGAGACGAGGTAATTTTAATATACCTAGATTAATAAAGATAGGCTTACAAGAATCACGTGGGTGGGATTTACTTATTATTCGTACAATTCGTTTTTGTAATCTAAAAGTCTGGGAGCTATAAGTTGTATTTCCCCAGAATATTATGCCATATCTCAGGCGGGAATAAACATTCGTGAAATATACACAACGAGCAGTGTGGAGGCTGACTGAATTTCAAAGAATTCTGAAAGCGTAGCATAAAGAACTAAATTTAGATTTCAAATCGTTTAAATGGACGTTCCATTGAAGGTTTGACTAAATTGGAAGATCTAAAATATTTTTACCTTAACATGACTCAATGGCACACCGTTCATTTTCAATGGAGTACAGAACTGTTTATTTGAAATGGAAAACTGCATTGAAAGTTTTCTCTTCATTTACTATTAATTTGTTATTACGGAACCAATTCGAAATATCTGATATTGTACTATTTACGGTTTCTTTATTGCAAAGAATATTCGTATCATCCACAAAGACAACTGTTCTTCCGTTTCTGATAGTCGAGGGCATATCGTTTACGTATAGTAGGAACCGAATAGAGTCTAAAATCGATCCTTGCGGGACTCTACATGCAATTGGCAAAGAATCAGAAAGGTGTGTACATAATGTTCCATTATTCCGGTAAGGTCTCTAAACTCTCTGAGATCGTTGTTTAAGGTACGAACATAACCAATCTAGAACAAAAACACGAATTCCATACGAAGGTAACTTTGAAAATAAAATATTATGATCAATGACGTCAAAAGCTTTTGAAAGATTAATTTTTTTTCCAATAGGTGCTTCGTTTTGATCCATGGATGAGGCGACATCTTTAAGAACAGAAAATATGGCTCTTTCGGTATTTTTTGATTTTCGAAATCCATGTTGGTAAAACGCCTCGCATTTACTAAGAAATATTACCATTCGTACGTAAAAATGCTTCTCTAATATTTTTGAAAAAAAAAACGACAAAAGAGAAATTGGCCGATACGTCTGAATTACATTTTTGTTTCCTTTTTTGAAAATCGGCTTAATCTTAGCTGTTTTAAAAATCTTTGGAAAAATTCCTGTGCATGAGGATACATTAAATATGTGAGTTAACAGGTGTATAATGACGGTCCGGCAAAAAATCCGGAAATTCATCTAAACCCACCGAATATTTATTTTTTAGTCTACCTATTTTGAGAATATCATAGGAAGAAGTTTCGGAAACAAACATCGTGTCTAAAATGTTTGGGGAAACGTCTGATAGCTGAAGACCCTTACTGGGATCGGCAGCAATTCTCGAAAAGTATTGGTTAAAGAGACTAGCCACTGTTGCCGGATCTTTCACATATCTATCGTTATTTTTTGAAACAACATTCTTCACAATGTTTCTAGTTGATTTCGACGAAGTTTTTACTGTATTTCACATTGCTTTTGGTTTGTTATTTGAGTATAAAATATCATGGTCATGATTCATTATTTTAGGCTGCCGAATGACCTTTCTTAACAATGATTTGCATTTTTTTAAAGTAGGGAAGAAAATCTTGAGATACGTTATGGTGCTTAGAAATTAAAGAAAGAATTCGTTCTTTTATTATAATATATGTCCTAATCCCTTGTGTTATCCAAGAACTGCTTTTCCGTGAAATATTTAATTTCCACTTTTGAAGAAGAAAGCAAGTTTTAAAATGAAATGAAACCGTTGAAAAAAAATTGTTTTTATTGTTTGAATCAACAGTATTCTATATCGCGCATATGAGTAGTAGTTTTGTTAATTATTATTTGATCTATTGCCTTCTTTGAATTTAGTGTGATCCGTGTATGTACATTTATTGTAATATCTAAACTGAAGGAATGAATTAGATTAAGAAACTGCTCTTTCTCGCAAGATTCGACCAGAAAATCAATGTTAAAATCTCCACATACAACAATGGATTCTAAAGAGCGATTGGTGACAATCTTTAGTATTATCTCCAATTCTTTAAGAACATAAATTAGTCTACTGCTCTCTTTGTTGGAGGCCTGTAAATGCAAAGTAATATAATTTTTAGCGTAGGCCTGCTTTTAATTTTCAATATGGTCTCTTATTTTGTCATGTGGTACCTTAGAGGGTGTCTTAATCGTTATTTATTTTTCCGTATGTGGAAAGTCACTGCGTTATTAACACTTCAACAAAGAAATTGAGGTTTTGTGTTTGTCACATAAACTTCTGTTAATTCCATTTCAATTCAGTCTAAAAGCTTTTTAAAATTATTTTTGTGACTCGAGAGCTAGTTAATAATTCTGTGGTTTTTACAAAGACACTGTATTCACCGAAAGTAACTATGCATTACTTTTCTTTTGGCTTTATGTACATGAAAGCAAAAGACTAATAATAATCTAATTTCATAAGAGAAGTCTAGAAAATGAAAGCATATGGCAAGAACGTTGCAAGTGCTCACCCATGATCACCAGGAGTAACCTCATCCTCCGCATCTCGTCCCTCGTCTCTCGCAACTGCGCAGGCGGCGCGCGGCCGCCAGGCGCAGAGCCCCCCTCCGTTATCGCACTCCCCCGCTTCCTCCCCCACTTCCTCTTCCTCCAGCTCTTCGCGCGACGCTGGGGCCCAACGCCCCCCTCAACAATGCTTCTGCTTTGCCTTCGTGGCTTCCAGCGTCGGCACCGCAACAATACCTGCGCGGTAATTCGCAAACTCGTTTCTATTGACCATACAACCGAAGAGGTTTGCCTTTCCTTTATTATTCACCAAGAGGACTAAGGTTTCTCTTGAGAAAAGTAATATTGACATTAATATAAATATATACCGAATTAAGTATTGCAACTCTCAAAATATCGAAAATATTAATATAATAATAATAATAATAATAATAATAATAATAATAATAATAATAATAATAATAATAACAACAATTTTGCCCACCAGTGAAGCTAGAATGACTCAGAACAATAAATTCATATAAGGTGATAACTGTACATCTAACATGAGATACGATGGTATGGCTTTTAGAAAAATATATCTTTTAACTCCTTAGACCGAGGATTCTATCATAAGTAATATCGCAGCTCTTCGAGTGGTATTTAAGGTGACTATTTCACGAATTAACACATTACACAGCTCGAATGGATAATTAAAATCATAGGAATTACAAAAAAAAAAAAATACTCAAAACTGCTACCGGAATATGTGAAACTTTCATTCAGCTCCAAGTTATCACTTTCTCCTGGAATAGTAGATATCCAAGGAACTAACTGACTGAATGACTGTTCAATTCAGAAAATGATTTTAACAGTGTTTCAATTTTGCAGTAACAAAACTTGAAAAAAAGGTACAAAAAAAAAATTGTAACAAAACTACTTAACATCGCCCCGGGGCCGGGCGGCAACATAGGTAACCATCATTTTCTTTACATCGGCCACTCCATCCAATTTAATTACATGTGTAGAGTAACTACGCACTGTTTTAGATGGAACCGTCATGAATATACCTTTGCCAGAAAGTATGATGTTTTAGCGATCTCAGAAAAATCAATATCTATGCGTTCAGAATTTTTAGAACTTGCTTATACGGTTCATTGTAAACGCCTGCAGAGACCTTTTGTTAAACGACAATGTTGCCAAGAAAGTATAATTCAAAAGAAATAAAATGAAGAATTTAGCTCATAATACATCACACCCAGTATAATGGATTAATCTTAATATTTAGGCCTATCATTAAGATATCCTTAAAGGATCATATCGTGGTTAGAGTAACTCCTTTTGGATAATCTTAATTCATTACATGTAACATGAAAACTTAAAAAAATTCGATTTTTGAAAACTTTTTTTTCAATGCATTAATTATTTAGACATATTTCGCTGAGAAAATATTCCGATATCTGCATTAGTTTACGTGTTATGATTTTAAAGGTTAGTCGCTGCAACATGCATCTAATAGGGTAATAATGTAAGCAAAACTCAAGAATCTAACTTCGTCTCATTTTTTCGGAGTTTTTATGGCCCGTTTTCCTCATGACTCAAAAACTATAATGTTAAAGCTATGAAATTTGTAGAATGAATGTAACCAATTATTATCCTCCAAACAATCTAAATCATACATTTCTGTTCAATAGTTTTTGTTATAAAAATATAAGACTGAAAAAATCTATTAATAATCAATATACTATTAATTTAGGATTCAAATTAAAAATAATATATTCAGAAATCTAAATGAAAGAGCATGGTTTTGTACTTCTGAGTATTTACAAAAAATCAAACAAGATATTGGTAAAACTCTTCGAAATTATTTGACTTATCAGGAAAAAAAGGAAGTCATTGCTTTAAAAAGCGGTTGAATTTTGATTTTTTAAATGTATTTTTTAAGTAAAAGAAATTTTTCGTTGCAAAAGAAGGATATTTCTTAGTTTTTGTTCATTTTTACTACTGTGGAGTATGATTTTAATGGAGAAAAAATGTGGAAATATTTAGATTTTTTATATATTTTAGTATATAGTTTTTAAATATTTAAGTAAAAATTTTATAGTTGTAAGCTATGTCTACCCCCATAAAATTGACATGAATAGATAAATATTCTAATGATTCACTTTTATTAAAGATTCATCAGAAAAAATAAAATTAAAAAAATATAAAGAAAAGAGGAAAATTGAAGTTCTGATAAATAATAATTTACATAAAAGTGAAATGAACGTTGTAGAATACTTAATTTATGACTCTTACGCGGTTACATTAAAAGCTTTCCAAAAGGTATATTTAAATAAAATGGGCAATTTCCAGAACATCCGGTGACTGTTTATGATATCAAATGCACTTCCATCGCGACTCGTTAGCCCTTGGAAAGTTAATGACGTACAGAAAATGATAAATTCAAAAGAACACAATATCCTTCGTTACACGTAGTGGACAAGCGGAATGCTTAATCACTTAATGCTTATCAACAATTCTATCTTCCTAATACTAAATTCTTATGGCCACTGAATGATCACCCGAATTCTTGAAATCGTTCTTGTCTTTCACTCACATTTTTATACAATAATTATAGATAAAATTATATTTGTGGCGAATTTTAATAATTGTGTTATGTAACAAAGCAATTAATTTTTATATTGAACATACATTTAAGGAGAGCATATTTATTTATTTTTAAATATTGAATAGAGATAGCGATGACGATTGGATAGAGATAACGATTTTCTTACTCAAAAAAATCAACGAATCTAGTGCAAACAAATACAGATAGGACTATATTCCATTCCTACATTTAATTTTTTAGATTATTTTTTCTGTGCCAATTTCTATTCGATATTCAACCGAACATTTCATACAAAGAAAAAGAAGTTGCAGAATGAACTTGGCAAAACCTCTCCTTCCTTACCAAATCTTGAAATTCTATGAACTCTGTCATTTGTCTTTACTAAATACCTTTTTTTGGTAAACGTTCACTTACTCAATGAGCGCATGTATTTTTAAACAATACAGCTATTATAACCTACCATCTTTGCAGTAATCATAATAATCAATGTGTCATTTGTGTTGGTAAAAACAGACCACTGACAAAATTTACACATTTGCGTTACGTAGCTCTTCCAATACCTTGCGTCTATTTCAATTTCTCGTCGGTCCTTAAAACGAGGAAACTTTTTCAATGCAGATCCATCAATAGTGTTGATCAATACAGAAGATTTTGAAGATGTACGATCATTTAAACACTTTTTTAACATGATCATTGCTGGATCCTGGAAAATACCTATCATTCTCCAGCTATTATGTGGAAATGAATTACTCTCTATACTGTAATTTACTGTGTATTCCATCAAGCAGAACTGATGTTACTACAAGCATATACGTTTTCTGCTTTCTGGATAACCATTTATTTACACATGAACTTATGAGCCACATGTAATTACGTTGCTCCATGGACTGTCACTATCAGCTAAAAATGATAATACGTAACCAATTTCGGCATAAACTGAACATTATTTTATTTATTTATTTAATAGGTAATTATTACAAACAAATTAGATTACTTGATCCTATGTGGCT